AAAGCGCCGCCAACAGGAGGCGGGAGTGCTACCACTTTAAAGAGATCGCTGGGTAACCTAGATACTGAAAGCAGGGTGGTGGATGCTCGCTGTTCCAGATCGAGGGTAAACACGGAATAGAAGACAATGTCTTTTCTTTCTTGAAGGAGTGCGCTAGACGTCGCAACCTGCGAGTACAGTATTCCAAAAGTCGGTTCCCTATATTCGTATAGAAATGCGAAACTTATTGGGTGCAAAATTGTTGGGTCCAGTGCACTCAATGGTAAGACGAAGGATGGAGCATACGGGGTTTGGTATATTGTGGCCTGATTGGCCTTTTCACGATCGTTATCCCCAAAGCTGTGGCTTTCTGCATTCTGTCCTTCTAAGTCTGAGTCATAATCATCCATCACCAAGTCATCCCCTGGCTGATGAAAAGGAATGATGGCGAAATTCTGGATCCCGAAGTTGAATATCGCACATCTACTGCTTGGGTCCACACTAAGAATGCTGCCACAACTGCTCAAGTCAGGGACCCAGGGACTACGGGTCAAGTCATCCCGCTCATAATAATGAATCGAGATTGTTGAAATACCACGGCGTTCCGGATCCCATTCGATCAAGCTGAGTTTGGCATTGCGAAACGCGATGAGAATGGCCTCTCCCCCGCTTCTTGAGTTCAATATTTTGACCCGGCACAGGTTGGTTGTTGTGCCAGCTAAGGGGTACTCCTTCTCCAGAACCAGTTTCGTTGTTTGCGCACTGAGCTGCCCATGCACTCGTTGTAGACCACAAGGGTTACTTTGCAAAGAAAAAATTTGGAGTAAAGAGGTCTTCACGACAACGAGATTGGTAGATGATTCGGTCAGGAAAGGTAGTGCCAATGCATGAGTGACCCCAGTGGGGGCTAGCAATTCGGAATAGCACTGCATCTGCAATGTTGAGCGAGATCTGCGTTCGTCTTTTTAGTATCAAGGGTCTGGCCAGCCACCCGGCTGCTTTAACTGCCTTGCCGTTTCCTCAACATTGCCTGATATCAAAGGCGAGGCAGGGTAAGGGGCGAAGAACAGGTCTGTGGCACAACAAAGGGCATACAATGAAAATGGGCGTGAGTCGAAAGGTACGTCCGGAACCTTTCAACAAAAACACTAGGCTCGGATCAACCAGAGTGATAATTCACGTGACAGTTCAACCAGATGACGTAAGACGCCACTGAACGGGCCTAGTCAAGTTATAGCTTTACTAACTAACCAACTCGGCTCTTTTCGCTAGATATGGGGACGCCTGGCCTACGCTCACGCTCAGTTCAGTGGTACTGTAAGTAAGACGGGCGTGTTGACTTGTCCACTTCGATTATCTCATAATCCGCATACATTTCATGTGAGCTACTGAACTATACCAGATGGCTTCTCTACAAACGTCCCTCATATGGGTCATATATGCCATTGCGATAATCCTTGCAGTATTGGTAGCCTGGTTCCTCCTCCACATTTATCAAGCCCCTCGAGATCGTTCGCGCGCTGTGACCTTAACTTGTATTTTTACCATCACAAGTCTTCTTGCAACTGTTCTCCTACTGCCAGTTGATGTTGCTCTGGTCTCTTCAGCGACGTCATCAAGTCTGGGCCAGAGGAAAGGTTGGGCCGCCCAGAATGATGTCGACAATGTTCTTCTATCTTTGACAGTCGTATACTATCTACTCTATTCACTTGATGCCCTCCTATGCTTTTTAGTCATCCCGTTTATTTACTTCTGGTACGAAGAGTATGATGAGGTTGCTACTGAAGCAGGTGAACAAACCTCGGCCCAACGACTCTGGGCTGCCCTCAAATATACTATATCTTTTGTCGCAATTGTGGCAGTGCTACTTCTGGTCGGCTCTCTTGTTCCTATGTCGAACGTCGAGAATGTCACTGAAAGTGAGCTTCTTACGGCGTCAATGGTCGAAAACCGTATGCCCTTCGCTTCCTTTTTGAGCTTTGTTGCCCCTTGATTACCTCGAGCAAAATACTATCTTGATCTAGTCCCCTTGCGAAGCTGACTCTTGACTTGCTTATATATAGGAGGCGAGCGGGCCCTTGTGTTTACGGTTGGAGTACTTATGACATTCGGAGTGCCTTTTTATGTCCTATATACGTCCACGGGCCTTGCTCTTCTCCCTCTGCAGGCAATCAGAGTTCCGTCAGCACCGAAGGATACATGGAAAGCTGCCATCGCCATGCAGCTTGAGTCCAACAGAGAACGTCAACGCCGATTGGATCGGCGCTGCGGAGGAAATTCTGGGCTTTTGTCCTCCAAAGATCGTAGAGAATTTGATACCCTTGTTCGAGAGGAGAGGACATTGATCCGGCGCCAGCGCCTAGCAGACGAAGCACACGCGGAGCACCGAGACTGGGTCGTCAAATTGTCGCTAAAAGCCGAGGCTATATGCCGTCCATTGACTGTATTGGGCGGCATTGGCTTGTTTTTAATCGCGCTTCTTATATTGGTATCCATGTTATTGACATCTATCGACAAGGCCAGCAACTCGCTCTGCAAACACCGTTGCGGATACCTCCTCAAACACATGCATACGGTCAATCCAATAGATTGGATCCTGGTTCAATCGGCGAGGATGTTTCCAATCGACTACATCATGTTCACGGTACTCACTTTACTTCTCTTCTCTAGCTCAGTATTCGGGATCGCTACAATAGGCATTCGATTCCTCTGGATGACTATCTTCCGGATCAGAAGAGGTCATACGTCTCCGCAGGCTCTTCTGCTGACAACGGTGATCTTGATGCTGACCATTTTAACACTCAACTATTCTTTGTCCATTAATGTGGCCCCGCAGTACGCATTATTTGGTTCTCAGACTTTTTGTGATCGCCCGCCAAGCCCTGAAGGGCATCCAGATTGCTCAGATAACACGCAACTCATGAAACGATGTTCGGACATTGCAGACAATACAGCTGCAAGGCAATCTTGTACGCCTAGCGTTGCTAGCACATTTGTAAATCATGTGACAACAAAGTTTCCTTTCTTTGGGGTGATACTTTTCTGGTCTCAATTCATGTTCATGGGTACCTAATACTATCCTACTCCCGCATCCCAGCGAGATCCATATTATTGACCTTTTTGTGTACCGCAGGTTTTTATTTACTCGTTGTTGTCACGTTCATCATTCGCTCACCACGGCAAGACGAGCTTTTACTGAACGAGGAAGCCGAGGTAGCCGAGGAGGAGAATCTTCTAGCGAGCACCGGAAGGCGTGGCAATACTAGGTTGGATGACACTGTACGAAGGATGGACAGGCAGGATGGCAGCAGAACTGTAGGATAACAATGCTTGTGTAACTCGTTCCAAGCAAGAACTCAACCCAGTCAGCAGAAAGCCGAGCAGCAGCGACACGTATTCGTAACATCATATGGCTAGAATCTCCTGGGTTGCCCACAAGGATGACCTACCATTGCTGGGCAATTAGCAAAGGAGGAACAGGAGTGTGACCCAAACAATCGGCTCAATTCTGTGGCCATGTGCATGTCTAAAGACGGTCGTCCAGCAATGCGAGAGCACTTTCAAATGCCTTGACAACATCGGTATCTAAGCCCCTGATCAGCACGGCCTCATTGACAAGAAGGTGTTATCAGGGCTATACAATGCCGCTTCTTCTTCTCTAAGCTCGCTTCGGAATTCTGAACATGTTGCATCTGGGTCTTGAATCTAGAATTAATATGTCAATATCTCACCCCTTGGAGCCGAGATAGGAAGAAAACCTTTTCAAGGCTCTTGTTTCGTCGCGCGTAATAGTGGTTCGAGACCATGCCATGAAAATCTATGCAGAAATTAGAACAACGCCATGTAATCACAAAGAACCACATGAACAACCTCTAGCATTCTCAAGGTATGGTTCTGGAGGGCATCTTCTGTTTCTTTGTGTTGCTCCATGGCCTTGTAATATCTGTTCTCAAGTTCTTTCCAGTCATATGCATCTAAGTTGCTGATGGGAAAAGGTTCCATTTGCACAGCTTCATGACACTCAACGTGTGAGTGGACCTGCGCCCTCGAACAAGGCATCGTCAACTCCATATCCGTGCTTGAATGCTGCATTGGGACTGGTGATACTGAGTCTAAAACCAGGTTCAGACCAAGGGCTGGTTGTAAAAAACACTGTCAAGCGCAGCCGCTCAAAGATGGCTTGTTTGATCAGGAATGAGGTTGGAGGGAAAAAAAGAAAGTAAGAAAGGGGAAGCGGTCAGCTTCCAATAGGTATACCTGCTGACACTTAAGTTATAATACTTCTACGAAGTCTCTTTGTGGTCTCAGGGGCAGTATCTATAAGAGAGAGACATAGATACAAGGCTCGATTTTCATGCGATGAAATTGTGGGTGGTAATATTAAATCAGCTTTGTTCAGTTATAATATGGTCAGATGGTATTCTTGATTATACCTATGGAGTGGTAGTATGTTTACAGGTGTCAAATGCTATCAAGACTTACTGTTTAATTTTAATACTTCATGTAAACTTCCTATGATAGGCGGTAAGTTAGAGCCTTTAAGTACTTTATTCTCTGTACTCTTACATACAGATACATAATAAAATAAGTAAGTAATGATATAGACTAATAATCCTGACAAAAGCAATAAAACAAGACTTGCTTATAGAACACCTCAACAGCAATATCTTCGGCTACTAAAAACACTAATAATTACTGATATATCTCCTGATATAAGAAGATTCCAACGCAGAGACTTGTACTTTGAGTGCAACAACAGTGCCATTGGAATTCCAGCCGGTGCCAATAGCCATCCTCTTTACAGGCAACTTGAGATTGCTACTGTGGTTCCTGATCTTCAGTCTGAGGTATTGTACGGAATGGGTACGGTAATTGATCTAAGCTTCGGCCTTGGCGTTGACTCGATTAGCAAGTGACGTAAGCAGCAAACCGTTCTTCCCTATGGGATAACTACTGCCTGTCAACTTACCTCTGCGGCTCTATGTGATCGCCACTGGACTTCGACAAGTCATGAGGGATCTGTTCCCTCCAAGTCGGCACGCATGGGTATTATATCATAGAACTTGACTTATAGCCATTTACTTGAAAGCTATCGCAATACAGAACCACACCAGTGTCACCCCCAATGTTCAGCCTTCCTAAGGATCGGAGTTTCTTGAAATGAGCTGTCACATATGTTCCCGCCCTCCGACTACAAGCCTACGGTGCATCTGTCCCACCTGTGCTCGCAACCGGCTCTACCAGCTACGGATCGAGTACTCCGAACTTCTACTTGAGAAGGAGTCTATAAAACAACAAATCGAGGCTGCAGTGTTACTGAGCAAGCTAGGCGAAGACCTGACGGAAAATAAGAACATCTCGGATGTCTGCCTTGATGGAGTATTTCCGTCCTGGGTTTCACGGAGGATCGTTGAAAAGGAAGCTGGGTCATCCGCGAAAACGACAGTTCTTACAAGCCACATCGAGGGGCTAGTGGGTGATATCAGAGAAAAAAGACTTGAAATCTCCCGCCGCAGGGTATCTTTAGCACGGCGGCAATCGGACGCAGAATCTGCAAAGTATCAGCTTTTCGAGCGAGAGACAGCAATCCTGGCCAGTATTCAGAACAGTATTAAAAGGACTGATCATCTTTGGCACTCGCTTCACAGTAAGACCACAGAAGCACGGATATTTCTGTGCCGAGAAGCAGCCAACCTCTACGATTTGCGACAGGGGGTGATAAGGGTTGACGGTGCAGTACAACAGACCTACACAATCGGCGGTATGCACTTGGTCGATCTCAGGCATATGAATGGAAAGTATACCCGGGGGTAATGGCTAGATATGTTTAATTTATTAATTCTTCAAGTAGGCGTCTCATCAGCCCATATCTCAACGGCACTCTCATATATCGCACAGCTACTTGTCCTCATCTCCCACTATCTATCTCTAAGACTTCCAGCAGAAATTACCCTCCCTCACCGGAATTATCCTTTGCCAACTATATTTGCGCCCTCTGCATCATACCTAAGGGATATAGGCTCGAAGTTGCCTTCTGCACAGCAGCCAGCGCCTGATCCAATGGAACCTCTACGACTTGACTCACACCGTCTGTCTCGGCCAAGGCCTTTGTCCATCGACAAAAGTCTTCCCAGATTAGCGAAGGAGGATCCTCGCACATATGCCCTCTTTCTCGAAGGAGCGACATTGCTGGCTTGGAATGTTGCTTGGCTGTGCCGCACCCAGGGGCTCAATTCAATGTCAGAGTCTTGGGAAGAAATCTGCGACATGGGAAAAAATCTATGGCAATTGCTTGTGGCACCTCCCGCGCAGCAATCAACGCTAATGAGAGCGTTTGCTGGTCGAGATATTCACGTAAAGGTGAAGACATCCAAAGTCTCACCTAAGACTAGTATTCAACGAACCGTGTCATTCCCTATGTTGGGACACTATTCACACGGCACTGCGCATTCATTCCTAGGTTCTGCCGAAGGTGCAGAGTTTATGCGCACTTGGAGGCTTCCATCTCCGACCAGAGTCATAGATAAGCTGAAGTCGACACTGATGGGAGAATTGGCGAGTGCAGAATGGGAGTTACTTGAAAGGCGCGAGTTGGATGACATAACCCATGGCCGAAGCAGTTCCGTGTCTCAATCTTCTTCTATCATTCCCGCTAGTACCTGCAAAATGGGATCTGTCGACGCAGATGCAGTCTCGGAAACACGTGATTTGGAGATTTCAGGTGGTGCTGGCAACACTTCCCGCTTGAAAGGCATGAGTGGCTGGACCAAGTTGAGAAGCAGATAGTATATCCATGATGAAAGCCAATAAGCATTCAAGTCCAAGTGCAAATATTGGTATCATATATGTTTGTAAATCGAGAAGCATAGAGCAGTGGCTAAAGTAACGTGACTTTTACCTTTAGAAGTGTTTGCACCCCCCTCTTCCAGATGACTCATCCCAATTGTCTAACGTAATCCACAAGCGGGCTGGCCACACAAGCAAGCTGGCCACCTCTGTATTCCATATAAAATAGCTATTTTTTGATTCTTGATATCTCACTAACAAGACTATTTAGCTGTTTTAGATTATAATATACAGGATAACAGTATCTTAATTTTTCAAAAAATCTATATCTATAAGTTTATAATTACTTGTTTATCAAAAATACCAAAATTACAGAAAATACAGTGTATTTTATACTATCTGGACATATATAGCTATTTAGAGAATTTTTCTGATATTAGATACTAAGTATAGCTAATAACAAGCTATATATCTAATAATACCTAGAAACAAATAGTATTGGCTGAGATATCAAGAATCAAAAAATAGCTATTTTATATGGAATACGGAGGTGGCCAGCTTGCTTGTGCGGCCAGCCCGCTTGTGGATTACGTTAACTAAACACGACTACCTACTTAGTAAGTAGCAACACCTTCATACTGCGGGCAGAATCACGGTGAGGTGCTCTTGGTCATACAGATTTATAGGATAGCGACCAGGTAGACGGTGCATGGGTGTAGCGTTTCTGAACCAACTATTTTGGGGCGAGGGGTCCTGCGAACTCAATTCCTCCCACTGTACGGGGTAGATCTAAACTGATACTCTTGAGTCATGATGGCCTGGTACTAGTACCTTGGTATGGTACATGTGATACTATTATTGCATCTGATTGGAAGTACGTACTCCGGCAGGATCCTGTGACTTTGCTGACGCCGCGTAGCCAATCATAGCAACAATAGTACACATAGGTCCGAGGTATGTAATTTGATTACTTAACTAATCTATTTGGGCCAGTATTATATAATCAGGCTGGAAAGATAAGATTATCAGAAAGTAAACTCGTGTTCACCGAGTAATTCCGACACCAATCCTGCACAATGTGCCTTTGATACAAAGGTAGAAACCAGCTTCATATGCCCTTTCCTAGGCAGGTCACTTGGAGCGTCCGCTTATCAGCTGGTCATCGTTTCCGTGGTATTATTTGAAAACAGGATATACCTCTTGCCATTTTCCCTCACTTTTACTCGAGTCCTTGCCGAAGCAGACGGCACGCCCAAAGTCTGCCATTAGGTCATGGATATAGCGGAAAGTGGAATTTCCACGGGCTTTAGACAAGAATGAACCCAAATTCATCATGGAAGCAGGCTAATACGAGCCATATCGGTGAGTCATAGCACACCCTATAAGCAAAGTGAGATTAATCGAGCACCACGATGAAATTGTCACTGAATGTTGTTGTGTTTCTTGAATAGCAATTAATAGACATTTACTAATGTCGCAGGCTTCGGAAATGCTAGTTTGTTGATTGCGAGTATCCCTGATACTCTTCTACGGGCCGAAATAGCACGGCGAACCTCAAATAACAGTGCTGCAACCTGTGGCTCAAAAGAACGAGGTGCTTATAACACTCCGATCCATGTCCTAGCACTTTTTCTTATACTTGTGTTAAGCACACTTGGTATGTCTCCTCTCCTCTTGTGCAGTAAAGTTCAATCCCGGAGTCTAATACCATAGATACAAGCTTGTTCGTTCCCTGTACTTGCCCGCCGATTCCCCCGTTTACCAATACCGCGTCGGTTTCTTTTTATATCTAGGCATTTTGGAACGGGAGTTCTGATTGCCACTGCCTTTGTCCATTTGCTGCCCACGGCATTCATTTCCTTGACTGACCCCTGTCTTCCGCGCTTTTGGAGTGAAACATACCGTGCTATGGCTGGATTTGTCGCCATGATTTCGGTCTTTGTTGTTGTGCTTGTGGAAATGTTCTTCGCCCTAAAGGGGGCGGGTCATGTTCACGGGAGTGAATACGACAAGCTAATGAATGATGTCGGTATAGACTTGGCAAGTAGGGGTCTGCATGATGACTTAGAGAACGAACAAGAGCCCGGAGGTCATGTTTATCTTGGTAGGCTTGAGGCGTATCATAGCACAGACGCGGTACCACCATCGTCAAATTCTAATATCGGAAGCTCAACCAACGAGCCTACTCTGTCTAGCACTCTGCGGCTTACTGAGTTGAGTGATGGTATAGACTTTGCCCGGCCACACCATCACGCTACTTCTCCTTTGGATAGGAAGAGTGATCAAATGCATCGGCGCTCGTCTTCTAGCGACCGACAAACTCGCGCTGATCTGCACCAAAGGACAAACATGGAATCATCTAGGCATAATCCGCAGCGACAGCTACTGCAATGTCTACTGCTGGAGGCGGGGATTCTTTTTCATAGCATTTTTATTGGGATGGCCCTCAGTGTTGCCACAGGTACTTCATTCATTGTCCTCCTCGTCGCAATCTGCTTTCATCAGACGTTCGAGGGGTTTGCTCTGGGCTCAAGAATTGCATCCCTCATTCCAGACCTCTTTGCCCCGTCTTCCATGAAACCATGGCTGATGTCTCTCGCCTACGGAACTACCACCCCTATCGGACAAGCCATCGGCCTCATACTGCATAATTTCTATGACCCAGCAAGCACTACGGGGCTACTTATGGTTGGTATCACGAATGCCATCAGCAGTGGTCTTCTATTGTTCGCAGGTCTTGTTGAACTTCTGGCAGAAGATTTTTTAAGTGAAACCAGTTACGCAACACTTAGAGGAGGGAAACGCATGGAGGCCTGTGTTGCAGTGCTGGCTGGAGCTTTATTAATGGCGGTCGTTGGCGCATTCGCTTAAGTAGTTAGGCTTCATCCTCAAGGTCTTATGCCGCCTTACTCTCAAGTACGTAGTCACTTTTTCCACTAAATATCGAGACACAGGTTAGAGTCTAGTGTTCCATCAAACTCATCTAGCACCTATTGGATGGAAAAGAGTAAAACAGGCCAATACATGCGGTTCTCGCGACACTCGTCGGTGCTAGCCATATTCTCTGATCCTTTTCCACAGCACAATATTTCTAGATCTCTTTGAGCTATGTGTTCCCATAACTGTTTCGGGAGGCCCTTGCGTGGTCCAACATAAGATAGTGATCCAGGCAAGGCCATGGCCTGTATAACTTTTGGACATAGCCTCCGCACTACGTACGGCCTTTGATGTCAGAGAATTAGGCAGAAATGCTTAGGATTGTTTTCTTCGGAAACACACGTTGCTATATGACGTCTAGCATCTTGAAACCAACATTTGGCGGGAGAATAAATTGTTAGCAGACCACTCGTATGGGGCTCGTCGGTCTCCTTCTGAACAAGAATGGCCATGAGCTCAAGTGGCTCACCAATTGCGCTTCCGAACATTAGACAAGAGATTCCACAACCATGGCGCTCGCTCCACCACCTCCATTACAAATTCCCACACAGCCAATCTTGCCGTTCCGAGCTTTAAGAACACCAAGCAAGGTAGTCAAGATACGGGCACCGCTGGCACCGATCGGATGACCGATAGCAACAGCACCGCCATGAATGTTGACCTTCTCTTCGGGAATGTTGAGCAATTTCATGTTGGCCAGAGCAACCACGCTGAATGCCTCATTGATCTCAAAGGCATCCACAGCATCCTGGGCAACGCCTGCATGTTTGAGTGCCTTGGGAATTGCGAGAGCCGGTGCAGTGGTAAATTTACTAGGTTGGTGAGCAGCATCTCCCCATCCAAGGATTTTAGCAACGGGTTTGAGGTTAAGCTCTTTAACCTTTGCTTCAGAAACCAAAACGACAGCCGCGGCCCCGTCATTCAAAGGGGAAGAGTTAGGGGCTGTCACAGTTCCCGATCCAGGAATGAAAGCAGGCTTGATAGCCCGAAGCTTATCAGGATTGAGCTAGAAGGGAGGAAAAATACAACATCAGCCCGTGTGTGTACAAAAAAGCATTCTGTGAGAACCTACATTCTTCGGCTCCTCATCCTGAGACACCGTGATACCCGGCTTGCCCCTGAATCCAGGCAATTCGATAGGTGCGATCTCGTCATCGAAAAGACCGGCTTTCTGTGCAGCCTGAGCTTTTTCGTAGGTCCGGATAGCATAGTTGTCCTGCTGTTCCCGGCTCAAATCGTGGTCTTGTGCACATTCTTCGGCTTGCAAACCCATAAGTTCCTGCTTGCCTGCATCGGTCAGGCCGTCTTTCATGATGCCATCCACCAGATTTTGATGGCCATATTTGGCCCCAGTGCGAAGATTTGGGAGATAGTGTGGGGCATTCGACATGGACTCGGCGCCACCGGCCACAACAACATCCGCGTTACCGGTCATGATTGTTTGGGCTCCAAGAATAACTGCCTTCAGACCAGATGCGCAAACCTTGTTGACCGTGGTACAAACCGTAGACTCTTCAAGTCCAGCCCCAAGAGCACACTGTCTGGCGGGATTCTGACCAACACTAGTGAGGACGTGTTAGAGGACCACTCATGAGCAGAGGCAATCTAAGTGGGAAGAAGCTCACTTTGCAGAGAGAACGTTGCCGAAGAATACTTCCTGGACATCTGACGGGCTAATACCATCGGCTTTGTTAAGAGCCGCTAATCATGAATCCTGTCAGTTTCGGCACCGAGACCGGAGTAACTTGTATGTCAGACCTTTGATTGCATGGGAGCCCAGCTGCGGGGCAGTCTGGCTTGATAAAGAACTATGTAAAAGGTAAGAGTGTGTGAGTTGAGGTTCAACCATTGTACATTAATGGTATCCTGGTAAAGACTCACCCCAAAAATGAGCCCACAGGGGTCCGCACGGCCGAAACAATATAAACAGGAGGAAGCGAAGACATGATGTACAGTTTTACCGTGCAGGTTATGGTCCGGAGGAGAGGGAAATCTGTGCTGACTTGACAGTGAGCTGAATTCAGTGAAATACCAGACCTTTAGGGACTGCTGAAAGGAGAGCAAAGAAAGTGAGTCTGTAGGGGTAAATATGAAATGTCAAGCGG